CCCAGGTGGAGGCATCTTCGAAACCAATATATTTTCTTTATAGCTGGTGTCAAATTGATGTATATATTAAAAAAATCTTGGAAAATGATCTCAAAAAGGAAGTAACAGACCAAGGAGCCATATGTTCAGGGAAGCTATCAGGTTTCCATTGGGACCAAATTTCACTTCACCTTTTTGTCCTTATGTGCAAATAAAAACTTATCTGTAAATATGCCATTCAAACAGCCATGCAAATTTGTGAGGTCCAGGGGCTGAGAGGAAACTATCCTAGGTCCATAAAACCCAAGCGGATGGAAGGGAAATAATTCTGTTAGCTATTTGATATGCGTAAGGCAACAGGGAATCGAACCACATAATTTCGCACCTTCAAATGCCATGCTTCTGCAGAACTAGTTACCGAAGAAAAGGCTGATAAATAGTTAATAAATAAATTCTGATGTCGATGGAACCGCCGAGCTCAGGTTTACATTAATGAATGTAATTTTTCCCCTTGCTGTTAGATGAATTGCTATTTTAATAGATTCACGGATTTTTCCAAATGCAGGCTCACAGGGTAGGACTGGAAAACCTCTGTGATGGGCCGAGGGCAGAGGTCTCATCCATGGTTTTCCAGAGGAGAAACCAAAAGTATTCCTTCTTACGAACACAAAATACTTTATGTGACCATTTTTAGAAATTTTAAATTTTAAAATTTTTCAGCATTTTAGTTGATCCTAATAATTTTGCATTCATTAATTTATTGGTATGCCTGGATGTATTTTAAAGGGAAAAATGACTTACAGTGAGCACTTGGGTAACTTTCCATATGATTAGAATCAATGAGAACTGAAAAACACCATGAGTCACTGAAGCCACTTGATTTTATATTGATGTGCTTTTATTATGTACAATTATTATTCCAACTGAAGGGGCAAGGCAATAAGATAAACGAAACCTTTCGTATGCAATAAGCCTCCGCGCAATTGTTTGCGTCAAGTTATGCCGGGGTAAGAGTTAGTGGGAAAATAAAGTTATCCTGCGTGGGCTATCTTTCAGCTCCTTTACTTTCATTTGACACCTATGGCTAGAGGAAAGTTTTATCATGTTAATTTAGGCACCTGGTTAGCAAAATAGCACGGCGCCTTAGGAGAAACAGCCTTCTCATTCAGCTCTTTGTTTCTGGCTTCCGGCTAAGCCACTTCAGCCTTAGGGACATCAACGTGTTTAATCCTAAGAAGAGTTGATGAAATGGTAGTTCAAGTGTTTTTCTGCTCAACCAGCAACTCTGCGGGTCAAAGGGACCGCTAGGAAACCTCCGCGGGCTTCCCAGCGGGCCTCAACAGGTATGGCTGACTTCAGCCCCGACTTAGTTTATGGTGGATTTTCAGGAACTGCTGTTCATGCCCACAATCTTACAGGCCAGAACCCTGGGCCACACCATGGAAGGACGCAGTGTACCAGCTATGTCCAGGCCCCCGTCATCGGGTACCCCGGGTCTAGGGAGGGTTGCCACCTTTGAAAGGCGTTCGTCGTACCCACCACGGTCCTAGGTGATTCTCTCCTGGCTATGTGGCGCAGAAACCCCTTTAGCCTAGTCTGGGGTCAGGAGGTCAGACCTTGGAAGTACGGCCCTCTCTGGCTTATTAAAGCGCAGTCGTGCACCCGGCCGGGTGCTGGGGTGCAAGGGTCGCAGCCCACAGCCTTTGGGGGGCTTGACCTCGCCAACAGCTCAGGCGAGCCGGGCGCGGCGGCTCGCACTACGGTTGGAAGCCTGTAGGGTGATGAAGGTTCAACTCCGGCCGGGGAACCGGAGCGGGGTGGGGGTGTTGTGTGGTGGGGGAGAGGTTGGCCTGGGTCTGGCTTTGCTTTTTCTGGCTCTTTCTTCCACCCGGGGGTGTCCCTGGGCCTCGGGCGTCGCTCTCCTGTAGGCAGGCCCGGCAGACTTGCACAGCAAACGTGGGTCCCCGGCGCCCCATGCGGGCTGCGCTCCGCCGGCCAACCCGGGTGAGGCTCGCCAGCGGCGGGGAGGACGCGCGGGAAAGCCGGGGAGCGGGAAGCGGGCGGCGGCGGGCCCGCTGGAAAGGAGGGAGCGCCGCAGGCGGGAGGACGACGCGCGGAGGAGGGAGCGGGAGGAAGGAGGGAGCGCGGCAGGCAGGCGGAGGGAGGGCTGATTAGCATGCAGCAGCGCTCGCGCGCCCGGCTCCATTGTTTTAACACCTCCCCTCTCCTCCGCGCCAATCTGTCACCGTTCAGCAGGCGAACGCTGCTGCCTCAAATGCTGCTCTTCTCAAATGAGACGGATAATTAGTTGCCCCGCACGAATGCCGCACTCTTCTCACCCCTGATTGCTATCACCTTCTTGCTCCTGGCAGTTTTGACACCTCGTAATCAGCCTGCTGCTTTTCTCTTTTCTTCCCGACTTCTGCTTCCCTCCCCCCTTCCTTCCTAGTTGATTTATTTATTTATTATTATCATTTCAAATGCAATCTCGGTGCCTATTTGGACGAGTGCTCCGCCGAGTTAACCTTGCGTATACGTGTGCGCCTATATATGCATATGTAAACCAGGGTGTGTGTGTGCATGAGCAGGGGGCGGGCTGGCAGTTTTGCGGGAAACACTGCTTCCACGCGGAGAGAATTTTCTCCGAAAGATATTTTTGGGACGGGAGGAGTTGGGGAGAGGGACGGGAGGGAAGAGTTGGGGAGACCTCAATTAATGCTTTAAAGATCTCTTAGAAATTAACAAACTGGGGAGTCTCGGAATCTGCTGTCAGAAGCGTGTTTTCCCCTCTCCTCTAACAAGCACTGACAGTCTAATTACTGTAGCTACAAGCAGCTGTCGAGGCAGCAGCCCGGGAGCGAAGGCGCCACGGGATGAGCGCTCGCCACCGGCCGCAGCGCCCAGCCGAACCCGCCGACCCGCGCGCGGCCCGACTCGGGAGGATGGAGAGAGCGAGGCCGGC